GCGTACTGCCTAAGACATTTGACTGCTAACTAGAAGCCTGGCGGTTCAAACCCACCAGCCACTCCTCAGAAGTATCTTCCATAGAGATACTGCTTTGCAAGGAGGGGTTGCTATGAGTCAAAATAGACTTGATGTCAGTGAGTTTTGTTTTTTTTTTTTTTAGTCCTAGGAGACTTGGTGGTACAGTGGTTAAAGTACTCAGCTGCTAACCAAAAGGTCAAGGTTTGAACCCACCAGCTGCTGAGGGAAAAAGATGTGGCAATCTGCTCCCTAAAACATTTATAGCCTAGGAAACCATACAGTGCAGTTTCACTCTGTCACACAGGGTCACTCTGAGCTGGGATTGACTTGATGGCACCTAACAACAACAGCAGGACACAGGACAAAGGTAAGGCCAGCAAGTCTTTGGATCAAGGACAGAGGACTTCTGGAGAAGAGGAAACCACACCAAAACTGCTGTGGAACCATGGAACCAGTGTCTTCTCTGAAATGCAACTTACAAACCACTCTTCCCCCGGTGGCCCAGCGGCTCTAAATGAGACTTTGGCCCTTTGGAAACTGCTGAGGGTGTTTGGCTTCCAAGAACAGCTGTGTCCGTGGCTCCAGGCTCCGCTGCCTATTGCCCGTTTTCCTTCTCGTCTTTAGAAGCCCCAGCATCTGAGGATTTGGCAGCTAGAACAAGGTGCCGGCTGACACAGGAAACGGCCCGTGGCTGGCCTGGCTCCCGAATGCAGCTGAATGGGGACACACAGCCAGGCTTGAGCAAGGAAGCAGCTGCTACTCCAGGCACCGGGCTTCACATCACCAGCTTGCTTGTTCCCTTATTCTAAGCGTCTTCACTGCCTTAGGAAGGTAACCTTAATGATAGGACACAGAACAACTCAGATCTTAACCCTGTAGTTTGGGTAGCTCTTTAGGAAGGGGAAGAAAAACCAGAGGTAGGCTAACATTTATTGAACGCATCCCACACTGTGCAGAAGGAGTCCTGGTGGCACAACGGTTAAGTGCTCAGCTGCTAACCAAAAGGAGGGACGTTCACACCAGCAGCTCTAAGTGAGGAGGAACTGGGGCTCAGCTCCTGTAGAGATTGCGATGGCCTAGGAAACCCCGTTAGTTGCTGTCCAGCCGGCTCTGACTCATAGCAACCCCATGAACAACAGAATGCAATACTGCCTGGTGCTGGGCCCTTCTCACTGTCATTACTATGATTGAGCCTGTTGTTGCAGCCACCGTGCCAGGAAACCCTATAGGGCAGTTTTACTGCCACATGGGGTCACTACTAGTTGGAATTGACCTTGGGGCACCTAATAACAATGCTCTTTGCCAGGCACTTTAGTATAGGCTACCAAAGAGTGTGATTAAGATTACTACCTGGGTTTAACAGAGCTCTGGTAGCGTAGTGCCTAAGGCACTTGACTGCTAACCAGAAGGCTGGCGGTTCAAACCCCCCAGCCACTCCTCCAAAGGAAGATGGGGCAATCTACTTCTGTAGTGATACTGCCTTGGAAACCCAAGGAGAGGTCGCTATGAGTCGGGTCTGTCTTGACGGCACATAACAACAACACCTGGGTTGAAGCTATGTGGCCTTGGGAAGGTTACTTTACTTCTCTGTGCCTTCTTTTTGTTCTACAACAACAAAAATACTATTAAGACTAAAGTCATTATTGTGTGTAAAGCTCTTAGTGTCTGGAACTTAGTAAGTGCTATATACATGTTTGTCATTATTATCTCTATTAGTTAATTTCCATGCAGCTCTACTTATCCTTTTACAGCTGAAGAAACTGAGGCTCTTGGAGATTAAGTTCATTACCGGAGGTGGCAGAACCTGAAACCAAACTCAGATTTATCTCAAGGCTTTCTTCCCCGAACATGACTGGACCTGCACAATGCTATCGAGTTCCCTGTCTTGCTTGCCAGCTCAGGGTTCAGTTTATCAACCCCTTCTTTGTACTGACAAGGGTGAAATCCTATATGACTGAGGCTATCTTTAATCCCCAATTCAGCCCATTCTGTCCTTGGAAAAAGGCCAACGGTCAACATGGGAGGTCAGGGGGAGGAGAAATGTCCCCCTCCCCCCATACCCCCACCTGTGGGCCTAACCAGCTCTCTGATGCTGCTTTTGCTTCCTCTGACTGGCAGAAAACAAGGGATAATCATAAACTCATTGTTGTCAAGGCATTCTGACTCATAAAAGCCCTATAGGACAGAGTAGAACTGCCCCATAAAGTTTCCAAGTTGTAAATCTTTACAGAAGCAGACTGCCATATCTTCATCCTGCCCAGCACAGCTGGTGGGTTCAAAGCGCCAACCTTACTGTTAGCAGCTGAGCACTTTAACCACTGCAGCACAAGGGCGAAGGGATAACCATAATGAAATCAAATAAGTACTCTGATGAGCAGGACCCTTATTATTGTCTGGTGGATTTAGGGGAGCAGTCGGATCCCTAAGGCAGTGCTGCCCAACAGAAATAAAACTCGAGCCATATGTATTTGAGGAGCGGTAGTGTAGTGCCTAAGGGACTTGACTGCTAACCAGAAGGCTGGCAGTTCAAACCCACCAGCCACTCCTCTGTAGGAAGGTTGGGCAATCTACTTCCATAGTGATACTGCCTTGGAAACCCAAGGAGGGGTTGCTGTGAGTCAGGTCTAACTCCACAGCACACAACAACAACAACAACAAGTTGATATAAGGGAGCTCTGGGAGTATAGTGTTTAAAGCATCTGGCAGCTACCCAAGAGGTTGGAGGTTCAAACTCACCAGCTGCTCTGTGGGAGACAAATGAGGCAGTCTGCTTCCATTAAGGTCTCCAAAAAAACCAAACTCACTGCCGTTGCGTCAGATCCAACTCATAGTGACCCCTCCTTGGGTTTCTGAGACAGTATCACTATGGAAGTAGATTGCCCAGTGTTCCTTCTGAGGAGCAGCTGGTGGGTTTGAACCACCAGCCTTCTGGTTAGCAATCAAATGCCTTAGGCACTAGGCCACCAAAGCTCCCCCATTAAGGTCTACAGGCTTAGAAACCCTATGGGGCTGTTCTAGTCTGTCCTAAAGGGGCACTATGAGTCAGAATCTACTTGATGGCAGTGGGTTTGTTTTTTCTCTGGAATAAAAAGCCAAACTCATTGCCACTGAGTGAATTCCGACACATAGTGTGACCCTATAGGACAAGGTAGAACTGCCCCACTGGGTTTTAAAGCTGTAAATCTTTGGGGAAACAGACTCCACATCTCTCTCCTGCACAGCAGTTGTAGGTTCTAACTGCTGACCTTTTGGGTAGTAGCCAAATGTTTGACCACTGCCACACCAGGGTTCCTTCAACGCTCCATCAAAAAGGTAAAAAAAAACACAATAAATGTACGCGTGACTTAGAATGTAAAACAAGCTCTTAAAAAAATAAAATAAATAAAAAGTAAAAAAAAAAATTAGTTTTAATAACATTTAACCTAATATAACCAAAATATTAACATTTCAACCTGTAATCAATATAAAAATTATTGAAATGTTTTACATCCTTTTTTTCTCTATTGTTAAATCCCTTGTGCTTTTTACACATATAGCCTGAAAGCTATTTAGGATGCGCGTACAACACCCACTGGCCAGATGCTTGTATACATACATGTCTTTGAAGGGCCTTCTTTATTCATTTAGTGACCTTGTATGTCTAAAACTGTCTCCTGTGGCAGATACGGGCAGATATTCTGATGGAAAGAAATGGCTGAACGGCGAAAGAAGTCGCGTTTTACCTGAGCTTCTCCTATTAGGGGGCAGTCTAGATTTCTTGGGTGGGCATAGAGCGTTTGTAAGAACCTGTACTGCTCTCCATTTCTTATGTGGGGTGGGGCATGATGGTGGGAAGGGGGCATTTCGGATTCTAGAAGGGCTCGATCCTCCTCTTGGGCCCTGATAAAGTCCTTCCCAGTATCTATCTTGTGCCCATCAGGACCATGTGGCCTACACTGATGAAAGCACCCCCGGAGACGAGAGCGGCTCGGACAGCCAAGTAGAGGCTTGGCAGGGCTCAGATTTCCTGGACCGGATGGAGGCGCGAGCCCGCAGACCCGCGGGCTCGGGCCCTGCACAGGATGCGCTGCCAGGCCTGCGCATCCCCGGCATCCGCCCGCGCTCGGCCCTCGGCGCAGCTGCACCAGATCCGCTGGGGCCGCCGCCTCCTCCCGGGCCTGGAAGCGGCAGGAATGTCCCCGCCTCCAGTCCCGCGCGCCCCCTGCAAGGGGCCGCCCTCCCCTGCAGGGGCCGCGGGGCGGAGTCGCCCATCTGTCATCCGAGACAACCCACGTGGGCCGGACAGGGGGCGGGGGGAAGGGAGGGAGAAAAGGCGGAGGCGGCGAGGGAGGCCGGAGTGAGAGCAGGGAGGAAAGAGGGGAGAAGGACAGGAGACAGGATCTGAGAAGGGAAAGCTCGAGAACCGCGCGGAGAGGGAGCGAAAAGCTGAAGGAAGAATAAAGGGGACGAGAGACATCTAAAAGACGGACAGGTAAGGGAGGGCAGGTGTGCAGGAAGGAGGGAAAGAAGAGGTGTCAGTGAGGAAAGAGCTGCAGAGCAGGGGTGCAGTATGATGGAAAGAAGCAGGAAAGGATTTAGGATGGGGGGGGCGAGGTAGGAGCCCTGGTGGGACAGTGGTTAAAGCGTTGGGCTGCTAACCGAAAGGTCTGCTCATTGAACCCAACAGCCACTCCGAGAGAAGGATGTGGCACTCTGCTTCCCTAAAGATCACAGTTTTGGAAACCCTGTGGGGGCACTTTTACTCTTCCCGACAGGGTCGCTATGAGTTGGAATAGACTTGACAGTAACGGATTTGGTTTTTTGGTTTTAGGGGCGAGGGATTTTCAAAGAGGGGTGGGGGGCGAACCGAACCTCTGCGCCTTTAAGGTTGCCAAGGCAACGGCTCTGGCCAGAGCGAGGCGCATTGACGTCAGCAGCCGAGTACTGATTGGCTGCGGCCGGGTCGTTTCCGGTGGAGCCGCTGCCGAGCCGCTATAGCTAAGTGGAGCGGGGCTGGGAGGGAAACGCTGAGGAAGCTCAGCACGCCGCAGCTTCGCACCTGCAGCCCCGTGCCTACCGCCACCCGTCCCCAGGTGAGTGCAGTCGGCCGGGGGCCCCGAGGCGGCCCGTTTCGCGGCTCCGTCGCCCGTTTTGGGGCGCTGGACCGATCCAAGATGGCGTCTCGGGGAGCGACCTGCAGGGGACGGCCGC